CACGCGCGCTTCTTCAACGCTGACAACCGCCATAACCGTAACTGTTGTTGTTGCTGCTGCTGCTGCTGTTGCTGTTGTTGTTGTTGTTGTTGTTGTTCTGCTGCGGCTGCTACAACCAATGGGGAAGCGTCGCGTCGCGTCGCGTCAATGAGATACGTCGTACGCTCGTACGTCGACTTTGTTCGGCCGACGATGCAATCGCGATCGCGTTCCAAGATAGTAGTAGCTGGAAGATAAAAAGGGCTAAGGGTCGCAATGCAGTGGTACGTTGATCCGAAACGTAGATAGGCGTTGGCGGTAAGAAAATCGAGACACGATGGCTGGAACGACGCCAAACTGTCTCCGGTAACCGCGTGACAGAGGCACGATCCTCGATCTCGACGCGGTCGTACGCTCGGTCCGCGAATCGAAAAACAACGATACGCTCGACGAGTTGAACGACGCTCTGAATCGTTGCTGGAAATTTACAGCGGACCGGCCAGTCATCAACTCTCCGCAACCGCTCTGCTGGGAAGTCCGGACGGGTCGCGGCATCCGCTAGACGTCTGCGAATTCACCGAAGACGACTATCGTCATCAGAATTCGAACGGAAACGGCCATTACCAGAACGGCAGGTCCGGCTCTGGTCTCTGGGAATGTCTGATAGGCTGCAGACGTCGCTTGGACCAGCACATGGCTCGGAGACGGGTAAAACATCGCAAATTTTCTATCTCCAGGCGACCGCGACTTTTTATCGCTATTCGAGACCGCCACGCGACCGTCGTCTCTTTCTTCTCCCCTTTCCTTCCTATCTGCATGTCCCTTTGGCCCCTTCTGCCAATCTCTCGCTCACGGTCATTGTCGAGAACGCGAACGAGGTGCACGCGACGGTGATCGCCAGTCACGCTAGCCGTAAAATCGATCCGTGTATATTCGTGTTCTCGCATCCTTGCTACGTGTATCCAACGATCGCGCGATTGCAACGGCCATAGAACGGAAGCGAAGCGAAGCAAAGAGAAGAGAGGAGATGAGGAGGGAAAGAGAGGTGACAGCGGAGAAAGGGGAGAAATAAGTCAGGAAGGAAAGGGTTTCCGGTTGATCGGAAAAACGCTTAAAACGCTTAAACTCGTCGAGCGTGTTAGTCGCGTTGCGTTTACACGTTGCCGCGTTGCAGTCTGATCGCTTTGCTCCCTCCGGTATCGTCGAGGTCGACCGTGCGCTATTTATGTTACACGGGATCGGCGGATCTTAAACCACCGGTGGAGGAAGTTCAAGGCCGAATCGATACGACCTTCTCCCTCGTCGCTTTAGCTTAGCGATGTTACGCGCGACGCTACAACGAAACGGAGCTTGGAACGCGTAACGCGAACGATTTTGTTTCCGGTGGTGGTGCGAGCGTAGCCGCGAATAACCGTTACTCCGCCAAACGAATACGAATTTCCGCATTCCGCGATGAATTCGCTTGTTTCAGGTGGAACAAGGCTTGAAGCTGTATCGCGCTCACAAACAGCAGGCTGCCGTTCGCAAATGGAGGGGTGCATTGAAGAACATCAGGCAACGAGAGGATAAGTTCGCTCTTCTCGGCTATCTGTATCAAGCCTATATGGATTGGGGCAAGTATAGGTACGTATTTAAAGATCGAACGGAATGCTTCCACGCTTCGACCTACCTTCTATAACGCTAGTGTCTCTCTTCTTCCTTCGAACGTTTCGAACGTTGTTCCGAAACGTTTCGTTGTATGTTATTCGAGTCGAAATACGCCCTGCATTCCGAACGAGTAGTACCGATATCGAAGTAAATGGGAACGGGGGTGGAAAACGAGACGGCAGGGAAAGAGGGAGGAAGAACGAGAGTCGGACGAGAAGGAAGAAAGATGAATGAAAAGAGGGAAACGAGTCGGGTTGTTTCGCCGAAAGGCACCCGTTATCCAGGCTGTTCAACCCACTTCACCGTTATGGAGAGGCACTGTCAGTCTTGTTTCTTTACGTCAGCCTTGTAACTACGAACCAGGAAGAGAAAAGAGCTTAATAGAGAGTCCGTAAACAAGAGACGGTATTTAGTTGGTAAGTCGTAGCGATACTTCGAAAATCCTTGACATGGAAATCAAGCTGTTTCGTTGGTCTCTCCGGAAGCGAGAGACGAAACGCCAGAAGCCAGATGCGAGAAAAAATCCAGCCATTCGACCAACCAAATTGTTCGCTATTGCTCTTGGATGCTCGTTACGCTCGTTCTCCGCTAAAAGGGCATTCGGCGCACTTCCATCTCCCGCCACTTACGATCTTCCTTCCGTTTCTCTTACGCGTTCCGCGAATGGAACTCTCGACCTTGATCGAGTAGAATCACCGCGAGAGCGAGAGCAATAACGATACGATACGCGCGATAACGATACCTCGTCGTACACATTGATGCGTACATCGATGCACGTTGATGATGATTTCAGAGATAGCATCGACTTCGGGCACAAACAGTTGTGCATTTCCGAGGAGTTGGATTCGCCGAACATGCGGGCAGAAGCGTACTTAAATCTGGCAAGAGCGCACGAAAGATTGGGCGCGCTCGATAGGGCCTTGGATTATGCCAGACATAGGTACCCGTCTCTTTCTTGCTATTCGCTATAAGTACCATAAGTAATCCTTTGAATCTCTTTCGATTCTCGAGTTTTTTCGTCATTGATCGATTCGTCGACTCGACGAGGATACGAACGATATTATTCTATCTGTACGTTACCTCGCAGCTTGTACAATGAATGCGACCAGTGCGCGACTGCTGGATTGGTTCACCTGACCGTAGGCAGAGTTCACTTGGAATTAGCAGGATTTTGCAAAGCTTTGGAAGCTTTTCAGAGAGCTCACAAAATTGCTCACTCGATTCAGGACCCGTCGTTGGAATTGCAGGTAAGCAATTGGAAATTCGATAACTATGACGCAAGATGTTTGTGTGTCTGTACGTGCGTGCGTCTCTGTGTACCCCGTATTTATCGATTCGCAGGTATACGTGGGATTGTCAGAGCTGTTCTGCAGATTACACGACGCCGACAAGAGCGCCAGGTACGCGGCTAGAGCGTACGACCTATCGAGAAGTTTGCAACTAGGCGACTTAAACTCCCGACATCATAGGGCGGCTCTCCTTCAAATGGCAGCGGCGCTTCGAAAAAAAGGAGAACTCGGCGACGCCCACGATTACTGTTCGGTAGGCGGTAAAACTTGATCTTCCTGACCTTCTCCGATCCACAACCGTCCGTGTGTCTATCCGATATCCTATTCTAATTTTCGCTCTTTATCTCGTAGGAGGCAACGCGATTGTCCCTTGTTTCTGGGGATCAGGCTAGCTACGCCAGAAGTATACGAATAATGGGAGATATTTATAGGAAAAAATCCGACATAAATGTAAGTACGCGTAAAATGTATAAAAAGCGGAAGAACGATTTATTGTTGCCACGTAAACAAACGGAATAGGTACACGTAGTTGCGTGTTACGTATCGAATCGGTCGTAGAAAGCATTCCGACAGTACGAGAGCGCGATGGGTTCCGCGGCAGCGACCGGAGATCGACTCTGCCAAATGGAAGCTATGGACGGTGCCGCGAGGTGTCTCGAGGCTCTTCGACTCCAACACAAAATATGTAACTGTCGTCCACTCGAATTCAACACCAGGCTGCTCGAAGTAGCTGGGTCGGTCGGTGCGAAGGTAAGAGATCTTCCATCCTTGTCTCTTCGGTCCTTTACTTTTCACTGATCAACTCGCTTCTGTTTTTTTTCTACTCCCGTTCCAACCCTCGTCCCACCATATGCCACCGTTCTCGTCCTTTTTCTGGAACGTAGTTCCTTGTAAGAACCGTGAGATCGAGGCTCTCGCGAATTTACGGTTCTCTCGGAGACGAAGAGCAGAAGGCTCATCACGAGAGATTAGCCACGGCAATGGAAGAAGATTTAGAATTGCGATGCGGTGGCTGCAACGAGCCTTTCGGCCTCGAAGCCGATTCCTTGGAAGCGCTGCCTTGCTCCCATATACTGCATGCCAGGTGAAGCGAAATCGAAAACGTAAATTTCCTTCTTCCCTTTCGTTCGAGTCGTTCTCACTAATTTAGACCGCAACCGTGTCATTTACAGGTGTGCGTACGATATCTTGAAGAGACGCGACAAAAAGAAGAAACGTCTGTGCCCCGACTGTCACAAGTCCGTTAGTTCACGATTGTACCTGCATTGCGAAGATCCTCACGGCATGAATACTTTGAATCACAGTTCCTTGAGTCTGGCGTCGTTAAGAGCCAGCAGTCTAGCCACGTTGGACGACTGTCACGTCACTAGCAGCGTTTAAACCTGGCGATACCTTGATTGCATCTACTTACTTAAGTACTTGCGATTTCGTTTTCCAGCTCGATAACGCGCGCGCTCTTCGACAACGTTCGTCGTTCACCGCTAACGTTTCGCACGAGTGCAAACGCAGGAACACACGCATGCGCAAATGCAAGCGCGCCCACTCCTATATCCCGAGCCCGAAGGTGCATATGAGCATACACGTTACCCTATTATATTTCAAATTTTCCGGGTATACGGAGTATCGAGCTTGCACAGTCTGCCAATTAAGCGATTAGACTTAATGTTCTTTAACGCGTGGATCATCGTTCAACGTTTAAATTAGGATGAAGAAATTTAAAGAATATTAGCACGATTCAAAAAGACTTGATGGCAATAAAAATGCACATTCAATTCATTCGTCTTTTTTAATATAATTCTCCCCTTTTTTGTGTCATTCAAATTATTATTCGAATTATTGAAAGTAAATGATCGAGCGCAAATAACTAGCGTAATAAATACCGTATGCACGCGTAGTCTAGAAACGCCTCGATATCCTTCGCATTCTTGATGACGATTTTACCACTACTCGCATTGCGATACGTTCCTATTTCGGCTGATTCAAGCGAAAAAAACACAGAAAATTTGATATGATCTTCCCATTGGTCTAGTTCTAGCTTCTAGCCACCAGGTAGTAAATATTCTATGGCTTTTCTAGGAACGGCCGCGACATCTAGAATACAGCTGTGAATTTATAGTACGACCGCCATGACAGCTGATGCATTTCGTATCGCTTGACGTTTGGTCAGAACATGTCATTTTGCACATTTAATTTCAACAAATGGCAGACTTCTTTTTCGGTTTTGATACGTCGCTTGCAGTAAGTAAGCCTTTTTCTGTTGGATGAACCTTACATTCCCAACTCTATTTGAAAAGAGTGGAAAACAACGCGACGAAAGTACGAGATTGTGCACGACTTTTTCACTAAGAATCGCGTCGTGGTTTCCCCGGAGTAAAAAGAATTGAACAGTGTTCGTGTAGTTCCTCGATAGCCAGTATCTTATTTACAATATATGAATCGACAAAGTCTGTTTACCAAATTTCTAATATTTTGAATTCGCATATTATTTCTTTATGCGTACGTATATCGTTTCTAAAGCACGTAGTAGATACCTCCTCGAGTCGTTATGGAGGTACGTCGCATAACCTCGCCAATGTTTGATCCCTTCAAAGGTCATTAACACTACCGTCTTCGTATTAATTATTATTGTCCTAATGTTTCTTTTACTTTGTTTCGTTCTAGTTTTCCGTTCGACGACTCCTATGCCTATCGTTTCAGCAATGCCAGGAAAACGAATGATCATTGAATAGTTTCCTACTACTCGCGTACCTTTATTTCATTATCCTGTCGAAATTTTGTCTATCTCGCGCTCGAAAGAATTGATTTTTATCCACGATAGTTTACTAATAGTAACGTGTCTTTTTAGTTTATTTTATTTTAATTATCTTGTTTTCTCTCATTTATACAGAATAACAGTTTAGAGGATGGTCTTGGGTGTCCATTCGAGGAAGATGATCTGGGAGAAGAGGAAGAATACGATGCTCTAAACGATGAAACATTTGGTTCTGAAGCTACTATTGGCGATTGGGAGAAAGATCATGAAAAACTTGCCGAGATTACAGAATCCAGTCGTCCTCATCATCAAAGTACTTTAGACAAAAAAGTAAATGCTTATCTTTTTCTTACAAAAAATATCTATACCGAATGGCAAACTAACTATACTTATTTGGTGATACGATTATTGTTACAGAATGTAACTGATACAGATATTGAAGATAATTTATCCCACTTGGTACTAGATGAGAAAGAAGGTATCATTCCACGCCCTGGAGTATGGGATTGTCCTTCCAACTTATCCCTTCCTAAACTTCGACCACCATTAAGCTTAACATCCCCATTAACCAATGTTTGTACGGTTGAACAACTAGAAAAGGGATTAATTGCAAACAGGCCACCACCTAGATTAAATAAACCTGTTCAGACGCAGCAGCAACAACATCAACAACAACAGAAATCCGATGGATCGCTTTTGTTTGAATCTTTATCTGCACCGCCGCGCTTCCCACCGGGGTTGGGTATACCACCTCCGCATCCTGTTGTTTTACCACCAAACGTGAGATTTCATCATCCTCAGTTTTTACAGCACCCTAGATTATTACCAAGTAAGTACATTTTCGCAATGATTAAATTTTAACACAGACGAATCCGGAAAATACAAACACAAATACATGTTGCTTTCTTCTAAAACCAACGCATTTATTTCCATAGATCAAACTGGAAATGTATTAAGATATCCTTTAGCGGCACATTTGATGCTCCCACATACTGCTCAGCGGCAACCAATTCATAATTCATTTTGCAATAATTTTCCACCAGTAAGTTTTATCTTTACAGTTACTTCGACGTAAATCTTTTCAGAAATGCTTCGTAAGAAAAGTTTTTTATCTTTACTAAAATCTATCGTATTTTTGCAGCAAGCACCGCTTTCGAATTTATGTCCTCCTCCATTTCTACGAGCCGACCATAGCATAATACCTCCTTTCTCTAGCAATCAGACTGGTCATCAGCAACAGCAACATTCTTTTTCGCATTCTGGAAATCAAAGAAATCAAAATAGAGCTTTCCACCATGGGGAACAACAAGGAAATCATCAACCATTTTTTAAGAATAACCAGTATCATCGTAACCATGATCGAAATAATCAGCGACAATATCATTATAATCATCACTGTCAAGGAATAAATGGTGTGATAGGTTCGGGAGAATACGATGAATACGCCGGTCTCATGAGTAGTCGAGAGAAACAGTGGTTAATTAATATTCAATTATTGCAACTTAACACAAACGAGCCATATGTTGACGATTATTATTATATCGTTTTCTGCGACAGAAGAAACAGACAGAGTATAAATCAAGAACAAAAAGATAAAAAGCAACACAACAATAACAATAATAATAGTTATCATAGAGATTCCAGGTGAATCTTTTTCTTCTATTTCATTGTTTCCCTTTCTCTCTCTCTCTCTCTCTCTCTCTCTCTCTCTCTCTCTCTCTTTCTCTCGCTTTGTTTCTTCTTATTTCTCTCAATTTCGGGGTTTTCACCTGATCTCTTTATCACCGCAGTTATTACCTGTATTTCCAGGGATCGAGAACAACCACATGTGCTTTCAAGGCCCATATATATACCAGCACAGTTTGAAAATTCTTTGGGAAAATTACAGTTCGCCAGTGTTATTGCACCGCGAAAAGTCATTGACATGGATGTTGTACCGAATAGTGATCCTCAATTAACTACTCAAATACAACAAAAAGATACGAAACGGACAAGGCAATTGTTACTGGAAATTGAAAGGGTATTAGCTTTTTCTCTCGTCCGTTTAATTAGCAAACGTTCTATTTTGTTATCTGCAAGCATCTATTACGTGAACCATTATAATTTCAGTTATATATAATCCAATTGAGACTAGAAGATCTGCACAATCCTTTGGCTCTGCTTAACGAACAACAACAAAATCAAGAAGGCGAAAACGAAGCAAATAATCATAAGAAAAGCAGTACAGATTTAATAAATATGATGTTATCGGCTTTTCTCCAGTTAATACAAGATGATAAATTACCAAGCATGCTAAGTATTCGAAAAGGAAAGGTAAGTGAGATTTAAGAATGAAATATTATGCTGTTAAAAAAAAGTAGGAATATTTAAAAACAAGGAAAAGAGAGAAACTTGTTTTTCTCGTTATTGAAACTATGTCTCTATCGTTCCAATATCATTGTTTGCCACAGACGCTATTACTGAGGTTTTTCCCATATTTGAATGTAACGGAACATCGCAATCAATTAGAAGAAATATGGAATGTGATATTTCGAGGATTAGCTATGATAGGACGTAGAGATTCCCATCTATTGATGAGTCTGCATTCGGAATTTCAACGTTGGTTCGATACCGTACACAACTTCGGTACAATACTTCGACTAGCTCGATCGCTGTCTGACTCCGCTAGTCAACCAATCAAGAACAACAGTTTAGCTTTTGCACTGACAAATAAGGTTTGTTTATTAATCTTACTGTTAAACCTTTTAAGTTTCCGCATTTCTTTGTACATCGGTTTCTACATTTGTACGCTTTTCTGTTTAGTTTGGTGTATCTGTAATTGCTTCGATGTTCGAACAAGCAGAAAAATTATATACCACGGATGATTCTTCGTCTTCGGATTGGTCATCTTTCATAACAAACATCATCGAAATAATTGGTGAAACTCCACCCTGTGTCGCACCTTGTCGACCGATTGCTGCAAATACGCTCAATCAGCATTTAAATCGACTATCTCATTTAAAATGTGGGAGATATACAACTCTGGAACTTCTACTAACTGATGCCAATCCTTCTCGATAGTTGAACGTTATTAGATATTTTTTGGCATTTCATTAAAACTTGCTTTTTATTATTATCATTATTATTATTAACTGAACGACAAATTACACTGAAGGAAAATCGCAAATATTTTAATACTGTTACAACGGTTAAGATTAATCAAATATTTCTTGCATATAACTAAATATTTTAGTATAATCAATACCCAAATTCCACATAATAAACGTATGCCTCTTGCGTTTATTTGCAAACATAACGGTATTTATTATATCGATAATAACGCGGTTATTGCTTAATATATCTTGTATGGTGTTTATAATTTTTCTTTTTCTAAGTTTACTACGTAAAGCAGGTATTGATTATACATATTCAACGCATAACTTACACATCATACTTTCCTATGCTCTTTCTTCGTCGTTCTCCTATTTTCCCTTTTTTGCTTTTGTAAAGTATATTTCTAGCATGATTTTTTTTAAACGGAAATCCAATTCCTATATTATGTCTATTATAACATAATACCTCGCGGTCTTGTAGATGTGTACGGTATATTGTTTAAATTGCGTTTGAACTTTAAGAACTTTATTGAACGTATTATCATCGTTCGTTAATTGAATTTATATCTTTCTTCGATAGACGTGGGAACAAATACTCCCTTTTATCGAGAATATTTCCTTCCTTCCCTTTCCGTCGTTGTTCATCTCTTTCTTTCTTTTCGTATATTCCATGTCGATCATCCGGGACGGGATGCTTCCTCGAGGGGGAAGCTGGATAAAAAAGGTGAACATACCACTTTGTCACCGGTGACACGCGGAATTTCGCATCGCTACGATCCAGAGAACGCTTAGACACGCTTTTAGACACGTCTCTAATTTATGTCAACTCTATCTCGTATAATATAGATTCGTACTGACGCGTTTACGAGTGAACACACCACTATTGATAAATTTTTTATCATCGTCAAACTTTAATCCTTCGTCTTATGATCTTTTATTTACTACTTCGATTTTTCGAGACCTCTTCTTTTTTTTTTCTTTTTTTTTTTTTTTTTTTTTTTTTTTACTAATTTTCTTTTTCCTCGGCGAACGAGGGGAGAAGGAGAATGAGAGTGACAGTCTTTTTATCTTTATTTCGAACTAAAACATACTCGCGTGTTTCTGCTAGATAAATGGCAATGCTGTACCCGTAATCCATAAACTTGCAAAAAAGATAAAAAGAGATTGCGTTGAGGTAACTGGTAGTTTACTAATTTCGTATAATATTTTGAATGTGAAACAGTATGCTACGATAAAGTTATTTGTTAATCAGGATTAATTATATAAGATAATGTTTTATCTTTACGTAAGATTGACATTTATATACGAAAATAGTTGATTGTTCATTCGTTTGCGTCGTATCTTTGAAAAGGTATAGGAGTCATATATGCAATGATTATGTAAGTTTCTATATGAAGTGCTGAAATATGGCAATGTTTTTATGTAACAATTAGCGTATTGAAAACTTGGGTCTGTAGTATGTATAATTATATCGTGAACATTACAGAGACACGCGAACTTAACGATTTCGTCTTGTCCGTCGTGTATTCGCCAATTATTTCACAATATCCGTTTGCAACTGATTTAATGCGTATTTTAAGAGCAGGATTATTATCGAATAAAATGTTGCGTACCTAGTGTGAAATGGTCGCAAGAATTATAGTGGCAACTAGCAAAAGCATGGAAAGCGATTTAAAATATACGACGACATGGCCTTTGGTGCACAGTATAAACGGTTACTTTTTTTATTGCAGTATATATTTATAAATTCTTATGTACATTTAGCTTGTACATAGAACGACTCTGATGAATGAATGACTTCATATATTTTATAATCGGATGCGAAAAAGAGTATAGTTTTCGCTTCCGCGATATAGCATTACGTCATTTTTGCAAGAAAAAAGGGAAAAAATTATAAAAATGATACAAAAAAAGATTGCATTATTTTTCAATGTCTATAAACGATCGTGAAATGAACAAGTGATTCGACATGTCTGAGTTAGAATTAATACATATGTCGGATTTACATTAAATTATGTATAGCGTTACATCGCAACCCGACATAACACTCCCTCCTTCTGTAGTATAAGGTCGTAATTTCAAACATTGCCAGTTACTTTCTCTTCCTATCAAAAATGTTTTTTAAGTTTCACGAGCTTTTAAATCCTCGGTATAGTAATTTTGTAAATTTATTATCCATGAATTAATTACCGCGATACAACAGGTAATACACGTTATTACTGTGAAAAGCTATTGTTTACGTGGTGGACCGAGGCTGGTTGAAATTTCGTAAGAAACTAGATATATCCTTGTCATTTGTAAAATAACGATCCGATTACCGAGTTGAAGCGAGCACATTTCGATTTCTTAATCTCGGATGAAAGATATTTGTTGAGACTGTACAAATTTTTTAATCTTTGAAATTAAACTGTATTATAAAGTTTAATTCGCGTTATCCCTTGCATATAATCTTACGAAACGCGTATATCTTTTTATTCCAGTCGTCTGCTAAAAGTATCGCGTACGTACTGTACAACAATGCGAAAGATGTATCTTTGATTATTATTTCATTGAAACGAGTTTAGCATGTATAATACATATTAACTAACAAATTATCGTTGACACATACGCGTAGATTTATGTATGTATTTATTTACATACAACCCCTCGCATATATGTATGTATACATACGTATATCGACTAAAATCAACCGCGAAGTTAATTTTATGTACATAATATCTAACTACGAATAGTCAGTATGTATATCGTGTGAGATAGTAACTCAGTTTCTCTTTTATAGTGCATGTTTCTAAATAAATACAATAAGAAATACCATAAGAAAACGAAAAATTTAATATTTCGTAAACTAGATCGAATCAATCGAAGAAACAGTCGTTTTATCTTTCATTAAAGATATATTTTTATAGCAACATCGCATTCATTGTGTTTAAACGAGCGATACTAGTAGAAACGAATTCAGACATAAAATTATCTTTTTGGAAAGAGAAATTTCCAGAAGGATTAATATTCGTTCATCAATTTCTACCTAGCAGTAGTTCGGTACACGAATAACAGTGAAATCGCGCATTGTACATACATTTTTAATGTGATCAGCGGTAATAATTCTACTTTAATATGTATGCACAGAACTGATATGGTTTAAATCTAATGAAATCTATATAAACCAATAAATGTTTTGCATTCTATAGAACTCGTTATTCGATATCATTTCACACTACGGTAATACGAGAGAGTCTATGAATAGATAAATGTTTTTTTTATGTAAGTAATAAGGAATACATACATAGATTATATGTAATGTAACAATTACTAGAGTATTACAATATCGTTTGGCGTTGGTTACGCGTCTACCGTTAGAATATAATACGCAAGAGAGTTATAGGAGGAAGGCAGCAGTCAATAGCGATAAAAGAATTTCTACAATACCGACGCAGATAGGTGTTTGCGGCGAAACTAGCATTTGCGGTTCGTTACTGATTGGCGCTGGTGTTCGAGCAACGTTTCTCCGCATGCTACTCGTTGTGGTACGGTTATTCGTTTAACGAATATTAACTGATGTGACGGTTTTCTTTCCCTAGTCGATGTAATTCGTTATCAGCGTTTTATAGTCCATTACCTTTTTGCGTGAAAGTGTAGAAATTTTAGTTAATAACTTGACAATTTTTCTCTCCTTAGGAGGTTGTATCTTATTGGCAGGTGTTCCATTGTCATAACGGATGAAATGAATATTTATCTGTGGAAAGATCATTTTAGTTCGCTCAAGAAATTGCAAGTATTTTTCTTATGGTTTACTGCAAATTATTAAGTTTGTTCGCCGAATTAATTTTATACAAGTTACGAATGAATGCGAACAACGCTGAATTTATGGTTACCAAAAGTGTATCCCTTGGTGAATAAAATTTTAAATCAAATCAGGTAAGCATTCAAAACAATTGTGTAAAAAAGGTCATTTTATATTCAAGTAAAATGTATTATCGGAATTAACTACTTTTGCTGATACTACTTTCATGGTATCTTCATTTTCAGCAAATATTTCATATTGAGAAAATTTTTTTGTATAGAATAGCTTGGTAACAGCTTGATCCGTTTAAAATTTAATTTACATCGCTTAAATAGGAATCAAAGATAAGGGTCGAGAACGATAGTCATTATTTACTAGCTTTGATTTACTACACTTTAGTTTAATATAGAGATATTGTACATGATATTTGATTATCATTTAATCATACGTAGTAGTTTGGTTTCTGGAACCACCTGTTGTTGCTTTTCCAAGTTTAAAACATTACCACGTACAATCAGCTAAAATATTAACTGAAATTAGTTGAAGTAATTACAGCTAGTTATCAGTAAAGTAGTTATTTCGACATAAAGCAGTCTATGTCGTTGATACGTAGAGACCATTACTAAAGATTTATGCTTATACAAAGTTCTTTATATTTCTTACAGAGGAGAAAAATGTACAATAGAAGGTAACAATTGAAGGAGATCGAGCTATGGCCAACAGGAAAGACAAAACATCTGTAGGTTTTGTAAGTATTTCACTGTTGATAGTTAGAAAATTTAATGAAAATGTAAAAAGCAAAATATATCCACCAAGTTGAAATTAACGCGTGACGTCAACATTATAGTATATGCACATGTATAGAAATGAACAAAAAGAATAGAGAGAAAGAAAACGTAGAAAAGACAAAATTAGAATATTTTTCAGTAGCGGAATATGCATATACGTTTGTCAAACGCGAAATAGCGATACGGTGTATATACGTACACGCATGTAAGTATATATGTTACATTTCCTGCCGTATAATTATCAGTTTCTTTGCGGCGCAACGCGATAACGGAAAAGGCATTAAATCAAAATAAATTTCAATTCCGACTGAATAAGTAAGAAAAGGTGGTCGAGTTTTCGACCGTTGTAATCGAAAATAACAGTGTCGTCGCGTATGAGTCACAACGATCGTTCAAGGTAAATTGTTTCGCATACGGAAAAGACAATTATTCCACGAAAGCGTAATGCACGACGTATGAGATACTAGGACAAGGTAACAAGCTATCAGGGACGCGACAATTTAGTTTGATATACCTTGACTCTTTCCATTTCATCTTTTTTTCATATCGGTTTCTGTCGCTTCCATACCCCTGACCCCACTCTCTCTCTCTCTCTCTCTCTTTCTCTCTCTCTCTCTCTCTCTCTCTCTCTCTCATTCCCTTCATCTCCTTCTTCGTTCCTTTCCACGTTCTTTTTTCATCTCTTTTACTGTAACTGAGATCTTTTCCAATATTTTCAAGAATTTTAGAACAGTTTGACGAATAAAAACCGGTTTTCCCTCTTCCATCATTCACATTCCACAAATTCAAAAGATTTCTAACGCTTTACGCTATGTTTATTTCTAACGGTTGATGTATAAATAATCGAGAATTGGTATTTAAAGTAAGTACAACGTACGGGAACGGTTACAGTTGGCTCTTCTGACGCAGGAACAAGTAGGGAACGAGAGGAATAAGAGACAATGGACGAAAAAATTAAAGGAAAGTAGAGTCAGCTGTCAGTTTAGCGGATTACATCATCGATTATTCGCACAACTGATCTCATGCACGCGCGAAAGATATTTCGTTTCTCGTACTATGTGACTCTGCGTCGACATATTTATTGTTTGTCACGTTCGGCGTTATCAACGAATTGTTGTTGCAGTTTTTATAGTCAATAGGAAGGTTAGCGTTTAGACGTGGGTCTTGAAAGCAAAGTCGTATCGAAACGTAATACCTTTTGTGGCACGAGTGACGCTTCCATCATTTTGAGACCACATTTTTATACGAACTGCCGCAACCTTGAGCTATTCGCGGTTATGACGTACAACCAGAAGTATCACGTAGGAGACACCGAACGTGAGAATCGTCGACACTCGGTTCTTCTTAGAGGCTGACGAATACGATTCTATCGATATTGGAATAATCACGCGTTTATTCATTTTACGCGAAAGAACGAAAGTTAAGAATCGGAGAGCGAGAGAAAGAACTCTGGCGAGACGAGAAAAGGAAAGGAACTGCGCTGGAACGATCGTAAGGGACTGAAATTGTGGGAGAAAGTAGCGTTGCGATAAACGCGAGGAAGGTTGAAGAAACCTTTGGTTGTCTGAATCCGTCGGTGAACGCATCGAGAGGCGCGAACGTGTAAACACCGATGCGCGACATGACACGACGACGATCTACTCGGCCGGTCGTGGGTAGACTCACACCGACTACGCACGCGCGTCTCTCCAATCCGCCACTCTGACTAACGCGATCTCAAACTTCCCTTCTTTCGACCCGTTCGATGACTCGCTCTTCTTAATGCCGTTAACTCGATCTTACCATCCGCTCGCGAGGTTACTTCGAGGATACGTTTCGCTCTACGATTCAGTGCCTATCCGAGCCAGAGATACGCTCGCATTGTCTCTATTTACCGCTGTGTGAAAAGAAACCTCGTGCGACGAATAATCGCGAATATCGTCGACTTTATGAAGTTCTCTTTATCGCGAAAGATATCTTTTTGAGAAAGATCGTGGTAATATCGCGATAACGTCGTGTTCGATTGGATCGTACATTGAAAAATTTGAAAAGTATCGATGTAAGAAGTGGCAAGAGATATCGGCAATTTTTACGCGGTAGAAGCTGTCGGAGATCTGATTCGGAGAGAGAAGCTCCGATGAGTCGCGCGGTTCTAGCGCATCGTTACCGTTACCGTATACGAGAAGACATCGACCGATGATCACAGATTGGGTAAGACTCGATATCGAGAAGCGAAACTGTTTATCGTCGAGGAAGAAGCTGATACAGAGACGGAGGACGATTATCTGTCAATTCGCTGAACGACGATGTACGATTGGAAATTGAAACGTAACGCCGGCGCCGCGTGTAAATGCTACGCGCGTGCCAAGCTTCCGCGTTAAAACATCCGGTCGTATTAGAACGGCGACGAACGCGATCGTTCGAATATTTTTTTCGTTTTATCTCTTTCTAATTTTTCGTTTCAGCTGGACACATGGTTCGGCCGGCCAAAAAAGTCCGGGCGTGGAGGTGGGGTCAGAAGTGGTTCGGGAAACAACACTATACCACGACCCCATTCCGGTGACGATTTCAATGAAATTGAACAACAACGTTGTATGATCGAAAGAATGGACAAAGAGACGGTGAACGACAAATTCGAGGAGATGTTGGTGAGTTGAGGTCGATTTCTCGATTGACGACCGCTATCCGGACACGCGTGGAGGTTTTCGAGATGATCAAGTTTTCGCGAAAAACAGGCCAACATGAATCTGACCGAGGAGAAGAAAGAGCCCTTGAGACAGCAATCGGAAACGAAGAAGAGGGAGATGCTGGTTTTGCATTACAAAGGTAGCATACAGGAGAATAGATCAAAATTTGATAAACCAGCGGATTACATACAGTATTTGGCGCAACCCGATTTGAGCGTCAACAAAATCTACAACTGCATCGAGTCGTTAAGAATAGCGTTGACGAACAATCCTTTGAGTTGGGTTCAAGAATTCGGCACCAAAGGATTGAAACAGGTTTTAGCGACGCTCAACGAATGCTATCGGAAGTAAGTATTACCGATAAAAAAAACATCGTTGCGTTGTGTCATAGCATCGGTATTCGATATTGTCCGACTAAGAATTTCTAATGTTCGTGTTGTTCTATTGCAGTGCCTTCATATATTACGATAGGTAATTTATGTAAAAATACTATTTGCTTCAATTTTATTAGCAAGATAGATTTTTCTGCATCGTTTCCTTTTTTTATTTTTTAGCTTTCGATATTAACGTTGGTGCACGTTTAAGTATGTATGATAGCGCGCGTGCCTATCCTATACGTGTATAATCGTACAATACACCTTCTACATATACATATGTATGTAACATAAACTTCTGGATGATATTCTATCCATTCTATGCCAACAATCGGCTCCTTTCAATATATACTTTTTTATTTATTAATTATCTTATTATTTATTTTGAAAGTATACCTTTCAAAGGTTCGACGATTAGAGTTAAACTAGGAAACGTGTAATATCAACTCACGATCGGTATTTAATTGCATGATGATCTGCCTATGCGATGCTCTGTACAATAGCGCTAGTCGACTAGTCGAAAATCGAGAGCCATTCGAAATTAGTCTATTCGAACATTCCACGATGATGGATGCTAATGCAGTTCCTTCGCGATTTCTTTTCGAATAGTTGGCTCGACTGTAGCTTATCGGAACTATATTTTTATTTTTTATTTTGTTCGCTGTAACAGATTCAGATGACGTTACACTGATGCCTTTCCATGTTCTGTGACAGTGACAACCGGTACGAGCGAATACAGTACGAATGCATCCGATGTTTAAAGGCTATTATGAATAACACCGTCGGCATAAAGGAGATGTTGGCTCATCACGAAGCACTCACGATCGTAGCCAGATCGTTAGAGCCGACCAAACCGTCGGTCATGTCCGAAGCTGTGAAATTGCTTGGCGCGGTTTGTCTCATTTCGAGCGACAGCCACAAGAAAGTTTTGGACGCGATCACCATGAACGGTGAATTCAAAGGAAGAGAAAGATTTTTACCGATCGTACAGGGCCTGATGAACAAGAAGAACGAGAACTTACGGGTACGTTTCTTCTCTTCCTGTCTTTTCCGATTAATCTTCGAGACTCTTTCGCTTCCCTCGCTCTTTTCGTCCTTTCTCGTTCTCGTTTGGTTCGTAATCCGATGACACGCTCTTTCGATAGGTGGAGTGCCTTCAACTTATCAATTCCATCATTTCTTCGGCCGAAGAACTAGACTTTAGATTGCATTTGCGAAATGAAATCATGCGAGTCGGCTTGGCCGATATTTTAGAGACGTTGGAAAAGAACGAATCCGAGGATCTGGCCAGACATCTAAAAATTTTCAATGATCACAAGGAGGAAGATTACGAAGAATTTGTTCAACGATTCGATCATGTTCGATTGGAATTGGACGATGTAAACGATTGTTTCGAAGTGATTAAAAATATGGTGATGGAAACATCCGCGGAACCATATTTTTTGTCGATACTTCAACATCTTTTATTCGTCAGAGACGATGCTCTGGTGAGGTAGGAAAGAGCTACAACCTTTTGCATGCTGTTATACTACATTTACTCATCGATATCGTTTTTTTTATTATTTCTATCATCGTTACTATTACTATTTTGTTTTCCTTCCATCCTTTTTCTTTCCTATGCTTTGCTTTCCTTTGCTCTCCTTTCCCTCCCTTTTCTTTTCTTTTTCCTCCAACAGGCCGGCCTACTATAAACTGATAGAAGAATGCGTATCGCAAATAGTGTTGCACCGTTCAGGCTGTGATCCGGATTTTAGCGCAACCAAGCGCTTTCAAATCGACGTTCAACCGTTGATTGATACGTTGGTCGAGAAATCGCGGGCAGAGGAAGAAAGACGATTGGTCGAAGTATCGCAAAAGTTGGAAGAGGCCATAGCTAGTAAGCAGGAAGCGGAGGCGAAACTCCAACACGCGGAGAACAAGATTAGGGAGCTGGAACAAGGAGGAGCGAGATCGACCGGTGTTAACGCTGTGAGTTTCCCGTTAAACTCGCTCGGCCGAGTAAACGCAGATTTCTGCTTGTAATCCACGTTTGTAATTTACGTCAATTAGTAATAACTGCCTCCTTTGATTTACGATACGCGCACACAGAATGGCGCGAAGTGTTCGTCCACACCGGGAATAGCCAATCCACCGCCACCTCCACCGCTTCCGCTC